TCAGCACACTCGATAACCCAGAAGATTTTCTATTTTTGGCTCGGGGTACTTCCGAAAGTTTAAGAAAAATTTTGAAACAAAATGACGCAAAAAGTTTTCCATGGAAAAATAATATTAATTTGAAAACTTTTTCTAAACTTTCGGAAGTACCTCGGGCCAAAAACAGAAAATCTTCTGGGTTATCGAGTGTGCTGAATACGAAAAACCACTTTTCAGCAACTCTAAACCAACTTTATTTTTTTCCGGTGATATGTCTGGATACTTTGAGGCAATAAAATAACAATAATTTAGTGGGTTGATTTCAAGTCTTATGCGGACTACTCCTTTAAAGATTTTATTTAAATTTCAAAATTTGGGTAAAAAACAATGACGTGGAAGAAATGGGTGTGAAGCTCCACTTCTATTCAGCTATCGTTGAAGTTGGTGACGACCTCGGAAGCTTGCCAGCTGCAACAAATATGTCGGACTAACTAACAAGTATAACCTGTAAACACTGAGCATCGGTAACTTACTGATAGGAGGGGGTATTCTTTCTTTTTTCTTCACATAGTTCAGAGAATATAATTACATATTGACGCCATTCTCTTACAAAATATTGATTTGATATAATGGTTTTTAACGATTTGAAAAGGATGAGAAACTAATCGATTAGATTTGAGTCTATTTTAGCTTTTAAAAAGTCCACATGAACTCATTATTTTTCACAAACTGTCTGTGTGGTCTAGTGTACTGTTATGCGAACAAGATGAAAGATGATTGCTTTCGTTGCAGTTGTATTTCTCAAACAGAATGGTTAAATTATTCTATAAGTGATAGATAAAAAATCTGGCATTTATCCAGCACCTCAATATCACCAAAAAACTAATGGTACACTACAAATATAGAATCATAAACAAAACGAATTCTTTCTAGATAAAATATTTATATTAGAAAATCGAGTCCTCCTTAAAATATTCATTTTAATAGGGTTTTACTACCTACGAAAGAATGTTTTAAGATCGCACTTAGCAATGCTTCATTGATATAAATAAATAAATAATCTCTTACCAACAAACGTGTTTTGAATTGACAATTAAAAAACATTATTAATAATTACAAGTATTAGCATATTTGCAATGAAGACTTGACGAAAGTTTTTTATTTTAAATTGATAAAGTACAGAATTAAGTATAATACTAATAATCTAACTTCTTGATTTACACTCTTATGGGTGTGATTTAGAAAAATAAACGACTATACGTAGAATTATATCAGTTTTTTTTCTGACGGCGTTTCGATGTAAAATATACAGCACAAGGCGTGTTTGAATATCTTTTGTTTATCATTTACCAGCTGATGCACAATGGATAGACTAGATGATTCTAGTTAATTAATTGTTGTCTCAGATATAGAACGAAAAAATGTTTTAATTATAGAAACATATACATGAAATTTACTTTCATTTTGCGACTCTGTTAATCCTAATTGAGGTTTTAATTACTTTTGACAGAATAGATGATGATGATGGACAAAATCTCGATTAGAAATGACATAACAAATTCTCATGTCAATTATAGAAAAGGAGTTCTTTTAAAAAGAGAAGTTGTTCTTGATATTTTGATTTTTTTAATATATAACAAGATATCGCTACAAGCAATGATGCAAAACTGAGATAATTTTAAGCTTTTTACTTGAATTTAGGAAAGTCAAAATAATTGATAAGGTAAACACAGCTGCTGCTAAAGATACCTTCTTGTAAATGCTAATGTTCATATACAGATGATTTTATGTTTATTCATCCAGATATCAGTTGATTTTTAAATGTTCTCTACAATTATATAGAATCAATCATTCTAACGCAAGCTTTTTTGTACCTCTTCTCAAGATCTTCGGCTTTCTGAATAAAGAAATACTTCAAAAGATCAAGAATTACATCTTAATCCGTAAATGTCCCAAACTTTTGTTTTTGTTTCTTCTTTTGGAAGCTATTTGAGCTAGAAACGTTGTTAAGACATTATTTCCTAAATCAGCTCTATCTAAGATTTGCTAAATCTCCAGAAACCAATATTATTTGCTCTTTTTTTAGGGTGGAAGTACCCTAGCAAATAAAGCATTGCGATTTTTCCAAAAGAATGATGAAACGCCTGGTCCAGGAACATATGAAGTTTTGCGTACTAGTCAATCGGCTAGAACATCAGGACACGATATTGTAAAGGTAAAGCGATGTAATGATCATAAGCTAAATAAAAATTAACACATCGTAAACCATTACTATTGTATGTAGCTTCCAAGACAAAATACATTCAAATACACAAGAAAATCAGTGGCTCCATCCATACCTGATCCAAAATTCGCCTACGGTTTTGAAGAAGATGATCACGGTGCATTAGTACCACAGCATCCACCTGTCAGAGATGAATCAATGGGTCCGGCGTTTTATAATCCTCCAAATGCTGTAAATATTATAGATACGTACATTTCTTTTAATATAAAATACACGTGTTGTTGTTTTTTAAGATTGAAAATGATGCATCAAAAATGTATCATGGAATACATTTCAGTAAATATTCCAGTAAAAGAACGGATTTTGTGGGGAAAACGGGCCCAGGACCTGGCGAGTACGATCCAAACGATCCTGTCAAGTTAGAAATTCATCATATCAATATGAAAACATGGGATAAAAGACCAGAACTACAAATTCCACGGTACCCGGATAATCTATTGAAAATAGCGACAAAAGAGGTATGTGTAAATGTTATCTACAGATTATTGTTTTTAACACTAAAGTTAATTTTTCCTTTGATTTGTAGAGTATACCAGGACCGGGTCGATACGAAATTAAACGTCAGTTGGATCCTGAAGTTCCAAGAGGAGATATAATTGGATTAGAATATGAACGACCACCATTTGGATCACAAACAAAAGTAATTAAACAATATTATACTATAGAATTGTACTTCTGAAATAAAATTGTGAATGAAATGATGAAATATTTTTTCATATCTAGCGTTTTGATATGCCTATATCTGATGTTCCCGGACCGGCTACATACACTGACAAGGTATTAACAGCATTTAATTCTACATTATCAAAACCCACTAGTCTAAAACGTAACCCATTCAATCAAACATCAGTCCGATTTGATAAAGATTATAAATCAAGGAGTGCCCCAGGTAAACAACTCCTACACTATCATTCTAAACAACATGGAATATAATTAAGTTTCTTATTTGTAGGACCTGGACAATATCGTATTGCCGGATTTGCCGATGAAAACTTGCGAAAAGCGGTTGTTGAAGGCGGCAAAAAGCCTCCGTTTAACGTTGCATCGATGAGACGTTTTAATTTAACTAAAAATGATGAATTTTCTACGCCAGGACCCGCTCATTATGAAATCAAAACAAAACCATTTAAATCGAAAATAGAACATCCGACAGCAAATTTTGCATCGTCAACAAATCGTGAACCAATAATCGAGGTATAGAAACTAGAAGTTAGAAATGTCATAGATAATTTTTCTTATACTAAAATGGCACTGCAATAGATTAATAGCATAAGAACTTTTATACAGAATTGTTCCATCTTTTTAAAAATGCTTTGACTGCATAATTTTTACATTAGGATATCCCGGGACCTACAGCTTACGACACAGCCAAAGCCTATACGGCATTAGTGTCATATCATCGTCAGCCACCGCGTTCAAAAAATGCAAGAAAACGGCACACACAGTTTTTAGCTGCATCAAAACGAACATTTCCAGGCGGCGTACTTGAAGTACCAGGTAAGTACAGAACATTTTTATTAGTATGATCAAGAAATGTTTTATTAAAATCAATTGATTATTGAATTTCGATCAAGAGGAAAAAAGACATTGGTTATTTGAAAAAAAAACTTTTTTTTAGGTCCTGGTGCCTATGATGGTCTAACAAATGAGCATGTCAAAGGATTTGCTCCTTTGAAAGATTCAAGATTTAGATATAATATCCCAAAATTACCGGGTCCCGCCGACTATGAAGTAAATAGTAAATGTCTATATTGTTCATTTATTAACTCTATCATCCTTTTCTTCAGCTGTCGCCTCTATTTCAAGATACGATACTACGTGGCACATTTAATGCTACCCTTAACAATCCTATTCTAGCTAAATTACAGTCAAAAGCGAATAAAGAAGAGGCTGCTAGCAATATTCAAACGCAGCCAATGGGAGATGTCGCTGTTGGAGTTTAATTTAAATCTATAGAATAGTTAAAAAAGAGCATATGCATTTCTGTTTAAATTCTCATCTCACAAATGTTAATCTATTTTTCCATTTTTACAATATTTTTTCTAAAGGGTACCCCTTCCCCCTTCTAGGGCTTTTCGTAGAAATATTGTCAAGCATAAACTAAAAATGACAAAGGCTTCTCTATTTCAAGACTAATTGAAAATTCTATTGTGCATCTTTTCATTTTTGTTGCAATTCTATAGCCATCGAGGTTCTCGAGTTTCTATAAAGGTAGGAAATCAGTTATAGAAAAAACTCTGAAGAACATCTTAAAATCCAGGTTTTTTAATCTTAAAATTCCTATAACTCGAAAAGAAAAGATGATAGAACGAAAAAAAAATCTATATTGGGGCAATGTTGTCTAGTATTTATGATGAAGTTTTGCAGTCGATCGGATCAAGTCATCGGGGGGGGATAGTAATGTGACTGGACTGAAGACACTGTTAAAAAAGCACAGTAAGAGACGGTTATATCTCCACGAAAAATTATCGGACAATTTTGGCAGTCGTCTCATTATGAAGAGAACACTTTTTTCTAATTAGACTACGTATAAGGAAAAATTTTGAATATACAGGAAAAGAGAAAAAGGTTTATGAAACTGCAAAAGTGAGTTTATTCCGATTCTGACGGAAAAACTTCAAAAATTTATAACATTTTCAAGGAAGGTCGTGGAATGCTGTGAGTAGTCTCATTTTGTAGTCCAGACTTTCCTCTATATTAGGATATGTTCAGCTCAAGATTCAAATTTTTTTCAAAATACAGGAGGGATACCCTTAAGCGTATATTTGTGTTCACGTTTCATGTTTTCGCATATTTTCAAACTTTTATAATAAAATATGTATTTATCAGATTCAAGTTTACTAGGTATAGATAGTCATAAAGGAATAAAAGCGAATTAGAACAGTGTAGTGAGTTTTTCAAGAAAAAGTGATTGAAAACCACTGAAAACATATGACATTATTTTCAGATTGCTGAACTCAATGCGTATCTCCTTGATAATGAGTATCTAAGAATGTGCTTCAATTCGATAGTCACTATTGATAAAGTATGCAATCAAGGCTTAGCATTCCATGGAAAAATAATATTGCATAATTGCATAACAAATATGATCAATTTCGCGGCCGATAGAAGATTCGCCTTATTCTTCAGAAGAAGTACAGCATGAGCGATTTCCTGGAGTAACGACTGCTGTTTATCAGCATAAATTTTCGGTGCAGTATTTTGCACTGCAAATGCTTGCAAAACACGCGGTTTGAGACAATTTTTTACGCTTACTATGAATCTAATACTTAGTTTGAAATCTCATTGTTAAGGTAAAGGAATCTTGGAAATGGCTTTAGTAACCTCACTAGTCTCGATCTCTAAACAAGAACATCTCAAAAGACAAAACCGTATAGCTAGCTAGCCCAATAAATTACTCGATATAGCGACAGTCGGATTACTCATCTGTTTGTTTTGCAGCCACTGTACCTATATATGTAACACATATACTTCACAAACTTACAAAGTTTTTCTTCATATCAATTCAATATATTGAGAAATAATAGACCAATATATTGGGGAATATTGCTTTCTGTAATATATTACAGAAAACAGGATGCCTGCATACAGACATCCCGGAATGCAATGTAGATAGCATCCTTCATGCTGTCAATACATCGGGCAATGACCGATCAATATACCTAGTGCAATATCTATAGTGCACAATTGGATCGGGCACTATCCATACAATATACCGGGCAATAATTAATCAATATACCTACTTTCATATCTGCTAGTGGTATCAGATACCGTCCACAATACATCGGGCGATAATTGATCAATATATCGACTGAATAGTTACTCTGAGCAGTGTTTTTCATCAACCCGGTATATCGGGTACGATATCTAGTCGCTAGCTATCATACCCGATACAGCTAGCTAACTGAATAAAAATCGTACGGGCAGCTAGCTACCACAAGTCGATATTGCCCGATAACATATTTTTATAGCCAGATATTCTTAAAGGTGTTTTTTTGCTTGGATGTGTCCAAAAATAAAAATTTGTCCTCTCCTTCCAGCGGAAATTAAAATTTTTTTCGTTATCTTTTGGTCGGACAGCGAAAGAAATTTTTCTTACCCCTCAAAGTTCCTATTTACGACCCTGGATACAAGATTACTCAGTTCATTGCCGCTAAGAAATTTTTGGAAATCAATTGACAAATAAAATATCCGTGAAATTTGTTAAAAAAGCCAGTAGTGTTAAAATCGATACGAAAAAGCTGAAACTTGAAAGGGCTGTTAGTCGTCTTGTTCTGTAAAGAGCATTGATATTGTCGACACGCGTAGCCCGATGTATGTTGATCAGATTCGCATCAAATTTACCTATTTTTTGTTGGTTGAAGATTAATAGTGTCGATCCGGTCCTCCTACACAGCGGAAGATTTTGCCACGGCGCATGAATGAATGAATAATTTTATGTCATTACTTTTGACTTTTTGATACAGGCTTTACGAAATGGCACAAACTCACATTTTACCATTTTCGGACACGTAGTTTGGCACCTTCTAGTAAACTCATTATAAGTCAGTCAAAATTGAACCAAATAAACTCATTATTGCGTTATTTTGTATAGAAATGATTTCTCTACCAGAATAATGAGCAAAGAGCCGATTATGTCGCTTATCAAAAATTGTCGATGCTCTTATTCGAAAATTTTTACGATTTTTTAAGCAAAATTATTAATCGAAGATTTCTGCTCCGAATGTCAACGAGAACAGCTTGATTTTGATTCTATTTTAGTGTGGATCAAGTTTATTAAAAAACTTTTATAAAGTTGAGGATTCTGGACGACTGTTGCTTTTCTTGGATCAAAACTGAGACATTCGCACACATACACCCGACGTCCGATAGTGCTCAATCGATTTTCAACAGATGAATTTTCTTTCCTCATTATTCTGGTAGAGAATCCTCAACTTTATAAAAGTTTTTTAATAAACTTGATCCACACTAAAATAGAATCAAAAAATCAAGCTGTTCTCGTTAACATTCGGAGCAGAAATCTTCGATTAATAATTTTACTTGGATTAAGATATAATTGAACACCATGAATTAATTTACATTTGCTCGCTCAAATTTGTCCACGTATACAATATATTGTCCGGGGGACGCGTACAATCACTAGCGTTAGAGGGCAAGGGTATGGGTTGAATAAAATTTTCACATTTCCAGCATAATCTCCCTGTACAAACTTTCACTTCTTGTGCTTCGTCTTTCAGAGGAATTGAGGGAGGAGTTACACAAAAAAGTAAGCTGTGAGTTCTATACGTAGCTGATCGTATGGAGTGGACGTATTTTATGGATGGATGAATTTTTGGATACTGTTCTGCAAGACCATTTGAATATATTATTTTGTTTACTATAAATCGACAGATAATAGAACAAATGAAATGATGATATATGTGTACACATAATGAAGCGTAACGCGGCGATACAAGTATATGACATTTCCTTACCTTCATCTCTAGGACTTTCTTTTTATTATTATTCTCAATGTGTACGCTGAGTAAATAGCGATGAAAAGGTTCAATATTTTGCTTTGCATATTTTTTTGGCTATTTCTATACAGTTGTCAGTTCAATAATATTATTACTGAGTACTCAGGTCAAATAAAGCGTATACGATCGTATCCGAATCAGACAAAATCGTATCAAATCGTATGAAAATCATATATAAATCGTGGTATCTGCCCTGCCCTCTGGATCGTATAATACGATCTTACAACATCATATACGACCATACAACTTTGTATGAAATCGTATAGTACGAACCGGATGACAAATCAGATACAACGATTCATATGTAAATCGTACATAATCGTATATGATTTCATACGATTTGTATACGATTTTGTACTATCGGATAGTACGATTTAATCGACTGGGTAATTGTATATGTTTTTTATTTTGAACAACATTGAAATTTAGAATGTTATTTGTACCTACTTAATTATTCCATTAAGTAATTAGCACTCAGAATATGTTTATCGCTGCTTAACTATAAAAATTGCAAAATAAAATGAACTATTATGCGGCAGTCTCTGCGAACGAGAACAAGGCCTTTTTTCAACGCTGAAGAAGCATCCTTTTTTTTGCGTTTCCTTTAAAATTTAATCATAGAGTATTTTAGACTAAAAAGTCTTTTGAAATAAAATTTTTGAGATTTTTGTTGAGTAATAGTAAAAACATGAAGACACATATAGAATGAGTCTGTACTAGGGGTGGAACAGTTCTAGTTCCTGAGAATTGGTGGAATCCCGAGCTAGACTGGTGCCGATGAATAGCCTCGTAGTGGCTACATGCTGCTCGTCGATAAAATAGCAGAAGGAAATAACAAAGCGTGAAGAGGGATAACCTTAAGTGGTCAAGCTGTTGATCCTGTAGAGGTAAGTGATATGTAGTTAGAGACAGCCTCATGAAATTACAAAACAGAAAATTGCAGAATGATAAAATTTTCATGATCATCCGAGTAGCGTAAGTGAGTGTCATGATTCTGAACTGAAACTATAATATATAATTCAGCCAATTTGATATTCTAAGAACTATTTATTCATGGACCACAATCATTTGTAGAGTAACAAACAGTTTTGGAATATATCAGATTAATCACATCACCAGTGTGAATCAAGGGATTGGGGTAGGATGTGAAATATGTTTAATTTAAACTAAAACGAAGAGAAATGAGAGAATACCAAACGAAATATCCTAACAGCGAAAGTACAAGCGCGTCTGCTCTCCTCGCTGTTCGTGAACTGCAATAATGTTAAACACCATTCTCAAGAATTATTAACAAAGAAAGTTCACTGAAGACGCTTTTTCGTTCAGTTTATTTCTACGCATATTTTCTATATACTATTTTTCAAACATGTTGGTTATAGTCGGCAATGGAAGTCACATATCATTTGATAAAATGTAGACACTTTAAC